TTTTTTTAGGTTCCAACACATTTTTCATTTTTGCCATATCAAAAAGTCTTGTTGTTGAAAGAGAACGATTGCTTAGTCACTTATCCTTTCGAAGTGGTTCAAGTGCTTGATATATGTTATTAAACAATTAAAATGGAAGAGAAATATACTAATTTAAGCATTGTTTTGCGAATATTTAACAATTTTTTTTCAAATTGTCGAGTTAAGTTCACAAAAATTTCGCAAAGGAAAAATAAAATTTTTGAAAAAAAATTACATTAATTAACAGTTATCTAAATGTTTGATCATAAATTGATAAATAATCAAATTATCTATAATTTTTGGTAGTTAACCTAAAGAATAAACAAGTTTCTGTACGACAATTTATCATAAATTGACAAAATTTTCACATATTTTTAAACACTAAAATTAAGTAAGAAGTCTTACATCTAGAAGCGTGAATTATAAATTTATTTAAAGAATATTCATCAAACATAATGTTTTAAGTCTTAAAAGTTCCATAATATTACTTAATATAATAAAATCTTAACATAATCTACTGTCCTTATCATTTTGAGCGGCAGCCATTTTGATTTTTTACCGTTTTTTTTCAAAAATATTTAATTAAAGTACAATTAGTATATATTGTATGAAAGGACATTTGAAACTGTATAACTGGTCCAAATTTCAGCAAATTTAGATAATCCTGTGCGTCAAAATTAATAAAAATGTGAAAAAAATTTTGTTGTCCTTATCATTTTGAGCGCTACTGTATAAAAATTGAATGAGAATTCAACTTAAGATGATGACAGGTTTATGAAATGCTTCTTTCGTCTTAAATAGAGAAATATATTTATGAATTAAAGAAAACTCCCTCTTTTACTTTCTTGTACAGCATTAGAAGACAGGAAAAATTGCAGGCAGAGAAGAAAATGGAGAAGTTTTCAGCAAACAAAAATTTATGCTGTCAGTTAAGAGAAATTTATTGCATTCATAATTTATTTTAATTTTTCTTTCTATTGTTGAATATGCAGGAAGTTCCGTCTAGTGGCTCCGACAAGAGAGACAACCAGAGGGAATTGAATTTCAATAATAATAATTTTAATTCACAAAAATAGAAACTATACTTTATAAATGTATTATATGCACATTGTGTGTCGTCTGTTGCAAAATGGATTGAGACAATATTGTGAAAATTTATCATTGATATCGATAGATATTTTAAGAATTCTAAGTGTGTACGCTGCAATGAATAATATTCTAACGGGAATCGTCTCACAACTCATGTGACTGAGATCTGTTGTCTCATAGAAATTTTATTAATTATTGAAAATATTTTGCATTGCAAATTGTCGATAAACAATTCTTTTTTTTATTCTTTTAATTTAATCAAATGCTCATCATGACAGTTTTGATGTTTGAAAGCAGATTTTCAAAGTACTGATCATAGAAATTGTTTTATTCGAGCTTCATTGTTATGTTATGAATTTAAACTATGTTAAGTTTAAGTTTAAGTTTATTAGACGATTCAAAGAAAATTCAATGAGTACCAACATAATATAGTAAACTCATGATCACATACAAAATTTCTAATATATAATTCAAAAAAAGAAATTGAATCGTTGCCACAAGTGGCTGCAAAAAAAAAATTGTAATACACATTCAGGTAATTCAAAAATACAATGATGTATATTGCGAAAATGAACAAAAAGATATATACTTTTAAATTTAATAATTAGGTGAGCAAATTGTGAAACAAAGAGAAAGAAACGTTTCATTTTTAATTGCGTATCAAATAAATGAATAAAAAAAAACCAAATTGCAAATAAACGGTTACATATCAACCACAATTTTAATACCGCTCCGCAAACCACCATTATAAGCTGACTCAGGCGATGAACCTCTTTTGATTAGTATTAGTTTTCTATCACAGATCCTCATATTGAAATCACTCCCAAAATTTATCAAAAGTGCCTTTAATACTTCAGCTTCCACTTCATTTGTGACAAGGGTCAGGAATACTTTTTTCTTGGTAGCAACAATTGACATTAGCTCATGACTATCCACAATGCAATCGAGCATCTTAGTCACTGAGAATGTTGATTTATTTTAAAAATGTTCACTATATTGGGAGATAGATGGTGATATAATTAACATTAACATAGACATTAACGTCTAATGGTTAGTGGAAAGAGAACAAAAAGACGACTTTAAGACTCAAAATTAAAAATTGACCCTAAAAATCTACATAAAATTTTTTGAAGTTTAATAAGAACTTTCTATCTCAACACTCATTCTCATACCCAAACAATCCACCATTAACATCTGCTTAAAATTCAATTTTTGATACAACTTGAATTAAATCAATGGAAATTTTGCAATTACTTAATGCTTTCATGGTCAAAGAGAGTAAAGTTATTCAATTAAGTAAGCTACAGTTTGCAATTGAAATTCATATAATTTTTTTGATTTAATTGAGGGCATCTGCTGCTGGCTGCTTGCTGGTTTGCAATTCAAATGAGACAGAATGAAATTCTCTTTATTGTTGATTCCGAAAATACAGGACCGATTAGAAGTTCTTCCATATGAAAGTTTTTTCTAAGCCTATTAAGGAAAAAAGTCAGAACTTTCCAAAGAAGAAATTATGCATAACTGAATAGGCATCACAGCATGAGAATATTTCTAATCACAAGTGTTCTATTCAGATAAATTTTCCAAATGAAATTGTCAATATTACTTTAAACAAATTAATAAGTCTCCGTGAAATCATATTATGAGTACTGGAGAGATTTTTTACTTGTGAAACCTTTGTCATTCGTGCATTTCGAGTTTTTTAATTGCAGCTAGTGAATAATTTCTGTTGCATTATTTTTTTTCAACTTTGTAAATCGAATTTTTACGTATAAATTTTTTGATCCATTCAACAAATCATCAACTGTTCACTTTTATAATATTTAACTGATTCCTCCTTAAAAACATTTCTTTCAATTATGTTAAGAGAATAATTTGTGATGAATTAAATTATTTACCGTAGCATTCCATCACTATTGTGATAATTGCTCAATTACAACCCATAATAACTATCGCAATCACTTAGCGTCTGTTCCAATAAACTTCATCGCGATTATTGCAAAAACAAAAATTTAAACTTCTTCATTAATCAAAAAGTATTCAAATGCAATTAAAGTTAAACGAATGTGTTCAACGATGTAGACAAAATAATGCACATATGCGGTTCGTGCAACACATTCTCATGTAATTGTGTACAAGAACATGAGAACAAAAAACTTTTTGCTGACGAGACAAAAAGTCTCAACTTATCAACTTAGCAAATCGCAATTTAAAGGGAGTGATTTAAAAAAAAATTGAAATAGAAGAAAAACAAATTTCTATTTAGTAAATATAGAGCATAAATCAATTCGTGCTCTAGTATCGTAGATAGTACAACATTACCTGGAATTGAAATAGATATTTATGGAAATACAAAAAAAAAAAAAACAGTATAAGAGAATCCCCGGTAACAAATTGTTATATTTCCCAATTTGATTGTTTTAAGCTTATTGAAGGGAGGGTTGATGCATAGGAAGAAGATATATAGGTAACGAATAAAAATACCATAAACTTTTTTCGGAAACAAATAAAAAATTTATGATACGGTTAGCGTAGTTTTGAGTCATGGAATCGCAAACTATTTTTAGATGCTCCCATTTTTTTGGCAAAGGAATTAAGTTTTTTTTTTATTTTATTCCATTTGACTGATTGACTGCATAGATTTTTTGAATTAACTTTCAAGTAATTCAATAAGCTAGGCTTTAGAAGCTAGATATTGAAATTAATTTAGGAACATATTATCGTACAAGAAAATGATATCAGAAATAGAATTGGGGTTATCAAAGTTGCAAGATTTTTGATAAGCTTTTGGTTTAAATTAGTCATATGGATTGATACAGTATCAATTAAAATACTTTACTTTCTATAGTCAAAAAAAATTTATTTGTCTATAATTATTTCAACAGAATGCTGCCATTATCAAGAGTAATGGGCAATTCTCCAGATAAGTTTTTCAAAAAATCATCCGGAGAATTGATTTTTCTCGAAAATTTTCCATTACCAAGCATTAGTTTTACATTTAAATCGATGTAACATGGCAAAAACTATTATATTTCATCTATTTTAGTCTTTGAAAGTAACCATTAATTAAGTTATTTCAATTTTTTGTCAAAATTACTGTCAGCAAAAAATGGAATAATCATCCGGAGAATCGAAAATTGAAGAAAAGTAAACACTCATTTTTTATTATGATTATGCAGAAATGTAGTTTTTGAGCTAATCTATCTAACCATAATCATATCACACTCCAATAATTACTATTTAAAGAGAATTTTTGATTCTTCGGTGGATTTTTTTGCTGACAGTAAAAAAATTAAGCTTTTATTTTGCAAATCCATGAAAAAAATGCAAAGCAAATATTTCATAAAAATTAAATTTTAGTCTTAATTTAACACTTCATGGTTGAATTATTGTTGATTCAGTTAGAATCAATCGTAATAAACAGTTTAAAGTTGCTTTAAGCAATCAAAACAAAGAAATTGACAAGATATTTACAAAAAAAAAATTGAAAGTAAACAGTAAATGACTTTGGATTATAAAAGCTCTTTTTTCAAAAACTCAACTCATCTGGAGAATTGCCCTAATATGAGGTATCTCAGGAATAATTGACAAATTAATTGTTTTTTTTTTTTTTGTTAATTATAGTCTTTCTATATGTTTCCAGCAAAATCATTGATATACTTAAGATACTCTAACCCATTTCATTTCTTTTTCCCGTTAAACGGCAAAAAAGTTGAATAAACTTTTTTTTAAAACTGCAGAAAAAACAAACATTTGGTTGCATTTATTATAGTAATTGGAGCATCGCGATAGCTTCAGCTTTTTTATTTATTTTTTGTTTTTTGTAGACACAAAAGTCCTAATAAAAAAAAGAGGAATAGTCAATCGTACACTTGTAAAATGAGACTTACTCGTGACATGCCTGATGGTCGTGTATTATAATATCGCACGAGGCACTTAACACAAAGTGGCGTTACTTTCTCACTAAATCTTAAATCTTCAACGTCTTTAAAGTCTTCAAAGCGCTCACAACAATCTTGTACTTCACAAACCTGATCCAATAATTCACTTGTACTTCCACTATCTCTTCTGTTACTTCCGTTTAACCAATAGTCATCCAATCCAGACGATGACTGAAGAGGAACTGCTTGAGTAGCAGAATTATGTTTGTTTTTAAGCAACTTGTTCGTGGAATTTGAGTTGGCGGTTTCCATGGACTTGTTTATGTCTTCGCACGATCCACTATGGGCCAGAAATGGAAAATTTTTCCAAAAATTATTTCTACAGCTTATATGATAGTCCTTATTCTGTCCTACATTTACGTCCTTAAAACTTTGCCTAAGTCGACAGCATGTCCGAGATATGGCACTTCAAAGTTGGTCAGACGACCATTTTCACGTTACATTGAAAATGCTCTCACCAGTCACTGGATGGATGAATCTCCTTCAATTTTTTTTTGGTAATAGCTTTAAATAGTTCCTTCATTTTAAGGTATAAACAATTGCAAAAAACTTTGGAAAATTTTGTGAAAAACTTGATTTTTCTCAAAAACCACGTGTTCGTCATACTTCCGTTTGTGTAGGTCTTCACAAGCACAACCAAAGTTACTAATTTCTTTTTTATATTAAAGATTACATCAAAAGCTATAACTTTTGCATACATGTCGTATAATTTTAACAAAGTTTTGGTAGTGAAAAAAATTTTTTTTATAAAAAAAACACCAATTTTTTGACAAAAATCGCTGTAGTGCTCCAGGGATACCCATGGTAGTGGAATTTTATTTCACATTTAGAAAGCTCTCTGGATATGCTATCAATTAATGCAGTAAAATGAACAAGTGTTCTCTTGGCAAAGAGCACTTTTTTGACTCTGAAAGTCGTATGTCGAGCAAGGTCAAAAAAGAAAAATAATCATAAAAATTTCAGTTTTAAGTAAAATTTAATTTTTTTAAGTTAGATTGATAGATCTTTTTAAAACGCGTCTTTTGAGTATAAATATGTCATAGTTTTGTCAAGTTTCATGATCAGTTTTTTAAAAAAATAGTTTTTTTCAAAAAAAAACTTGAAAAATAAAGTATTTGACTTTAGAATTTCATAAAATGCATTCTTTTTAACATTTTTTTCACTATTTTGTCTAGTTTTGCTCCTCGTTTTTTCCTAAACATAAATCAATAAGAACTTAACATAATTGAAGCCATTTGGAGGTTAAATTGAGTTAAAAATCGTTTAAAATTTTTGTATTTCTTAAATAGTTCTTTACACAAGTATCTAAGATATAAAGTGTTGCATAGTTTTGAAAAGGTATTAAAATTTCCAATATGTTAACATGAAAATTTTAGGAAAATTTTCAAGTAATATAGTCAATTTGGGTAAAAAACGCATTTTATATATGCTAGTTTTTAATGTTTTTCGTTTTTCTCAGCAAAGACTTTATGAAAAACTCTCAAAGTTTGCACACTTATTTGTTATATAAATGTTAATGACTCGTATAAGTTTTGGAATTTTCTATTGAGTTTTTCATGAGTTCTCCAAATCTGAAATTTTCAATATTAAAAATCCTTTTTTCTCAATAATTCCGATTTTTTATTTATAAATAAATATCTTATTTTGTTTCATTTTTCAATATCTTTTCATTGATATGTAACAATCTACGAAAAAAATAAGACTAGCGAGAAATCAATAAAAAAAGTGTCAAAAATTTATGAAAATTCTACGCTATTTTAATTTTTTAGCATTTTCTGGTTAATTTTATTAAGTTTTGTAAGAGTGTTATACCTTTTTGCAAATTTATAGCTTAAGACTTTCATCTGCTTTCATCCATTAAAATTCGTATGAGTCAACGATAAGCACAACTGAAGTTAAATAAGCTTCACGTTGGCGCAACCAAAAATTTTGAATTTTTTAAAATCAAATTATTTAAAAGCTTTAAATTAAATCTTCAGGCTGCTATTAAATACATGAAACATTTATAACAAAACTAAATGAAAAAGTTTAATATTATAGCTCAAATAGCATTAAAATTAATATCTGGTTTTCTTCATATGGAACTGTCTTTTGTCGCCAACGTGAAGCTTATTTAACTTCAGTTGTGCTTATCGTTGACTCATACGAATTTTAGTGGATGAAAGCAGATGAAAGTCTTAAGCTATAAATTTGCAAAAAGGTATAATACTCTTACAAAACTTAATAAAATTAACCAGAAAAGGATAAAAAATTAAAATAGCGTAGAATTTTCATAAATTTTTGACACTTTTTTTATTGATTTCTCGCTAGTCTTATTTTTTTCGTAGATTGTTACATATCAATGAAAAGATATTGAAAAATGAAACAAAATAAGATATTTATTTATAAATAAAAAATCGGAATTATTGAGAAAAAAGGATTTTTAATATTGAAAATTTCAGATTTGGAGAACTCATGAAAAACTCAATAGAAAATTCCAAAACTTATACGAGTCATTAACATTTATATAACAAATAAGTGTGCAAACTTTGAGAGTTTTTCATAAAGTCTTTGCTGAGAAAAACGAAAAACATTAAAAACTAGCATATATAAAATGCGTTTTTTACCCAAATTGACTATATTACTTGAAAATTTTCCTAAAATTTTCATGTTAACATATTGGAAATTTTAATACCTTTTCAAAACTATGCAACACTTTATATCTTAGATACTTGTGTAAAGAACTATTTAAGAAATACAAAAATTTTAAACGATTTTTAACTCAATTTAACCTCCAAATGGCTTCAATTATGTTAAGTTCTTATTGATTTATGTTTAGGAAAAAACGAGGAGCAAAACTAGACAAAATAGTGAAAAAAATGTTAAAAAGAATGCATTTTATGAAATTCTAAAGTCAAATACTTTATTTTTCAAGTTTTTTTTTGAAAAAAACTATTTTTTTAAAAAACTGATCATGAAACTTGACAAAACTATGACATATTTATACTCAAAAGACGCGTTTTAAAAAGATCTATCAATCTAACTTAAAAAAATTAAATTTTACTTAAAACTGAAATTTTTATGATTATTTTTCTTTTTTGACCTTGCTCGACATACGACTTTCAGAGTCAAAAAAGTGCTCTTTGCCAAGAGAACACTTGTTCATTTTACTGCATTAATTGATAGCATATCCAGAGAGCTTTCTAAATGTGAAATAAAATTCCACTACCATGGGTATCCCTGGAGCACTACAGCGATTTTTGTCAAAAAATTGGTGTTTTTTTTATAAAAAAAATTTTTTTCACTACCAAAACTTTGTTAAAATTATACGACATGTATGCAAAAGTTATAGCTTTTGATGTAATCTTTAATATAAAAAAGAAATTAGTAACTTTGGTTGTGCTTGTGAAGACCTACACAAACGGAAGTATGACGAACACGTGGTTTTTGAGAAAAATCAAGTTTTTCACAAAATTTTCCAAAGTTTTTTGCAATTGTTTATACCTTAAAATGAAGGAACTATTTAAAGCTATTACCAAAAAAAAATTGAAGGAGATTCATCCATCCAGTGACTGGTGAGAGCATTTTCAATGTAACGTGAAAATGGTCGTCTGACCAACTTTGAAGTGCCATATCTCGGACATGCTGTCGACTTAGGCAAAGTTTTAAGGACGTAAATGTAGGACAGAATAAGGACTATCATATAAGCTGTAGAAATAATTTTTGGAAAAATTTTCCATTTCTGGCCCATAGTGCGATCCTCGAATATCTGACATGCGTTCACGGTGCTGTGATTTATTGTGCTGACTATAATAATCAGTGAGCTGACGTTTTATGCTTTCCCAGTAAGCCTTGTTTTGTAGTTCTTTTAATCGCTTCTGATATTCTTCTTGAAATTCCAATGGTATAGGCGGAATAGGTGGTGCTGGTATTGGTGGTGAGGGTTTTGTTATGAATCCATAATCGTCGTCATCGTCACTCAAAAATGCTCTTGAACTTGTCGTAGTCATGAGGTTCGGTGAACTACGAAAAAGAGGGTTGTGACGAGTTGCTGTCCGTAAATTGTACATTAGTGATCCTCCCCAATTTTGCTTTCTTCGTTCCATTAATAAATGAATGAAGTAATTTTCTCGTTTTACTTTAAAATTTTCGCACGCAAAGTGGAATTAACTTTGTTTGTCTGATAATTTGACGTCGTCTAAAGGAAGTGATTTTTTCTTTTGTCGGGTTAAGTTTTTTGCTATTTTCTCAAAGTTTTTTAATTTGGAAAGTCTCAAGGTTGATTTATCGATTTGAATATTAATGTCATTGGAAAAATTTCATTTTATAGGTTAAAATATTTATTTGTCAGGTGACATTGCAACTGAGCTTTTATTGTACTTTGCTCCTCATTTTTATTCCTTCATTTTTTAGCTTTATAACGTTATTGGTTCTTTTTAATTCACTTAATATTAAAATCACTTTGCAACTATTAATATCATATATAGAGTAGTCTTTAATAGACCTTAATCTTTACTCTGATAGAATCAACATTCAATATATATATTTGAAGATTATCACTAAAGTGTTTTAATTTTAATTGATTCTAAAGACAAGACAGAAAGATAAGCTGCATTAAACCCAACTGCACATTTCTTATAATTCACAAAATTATTTTAAAAAAATTCACTCAAAAACATCCAAATTTTAATTTACAGCTCAAAACTCTCACTTTCACTACCGCCAACGATTAAAAAGGAACTAAAATACCTTCATAATGCAATCAAAAAAATTTTCATAGACTGCAAAATAGTTCAATAAAAAAATATTGAATAATGCTTAAAAATAAAACATTTTACCATAATGAATAGAAATATTCAAAACACCTTCGATAGACGATTATTTAGTTCCATAGCAGCTAGAATTCCCCAGCAAGTTGAAGTATTTAAATGACAAGGCAAAAAAATCAGTGTAGCTATGATACACAGTATTTTGAGACAGGGGTTTTCAAACAGTGAGCTACGATCCAAAATTTTAATGAACATTCGAACCATAACGAGGTAATTTTTTTATACAAAAACACAAATTAGTAAGAGAAAGAAGAACGACACGTAAAACTCCCACTAATGGCATGTCAAAATAGGTTTAACCACAGGAACACTAATCCAGCTACCTAAAAACGTCCAACGAAGCAAAAAAGGTGTAGCGTCCTTAATTCTTTTTATTCGGAAACATTTTCAAAAAGGAAATTTATTTAATGTCGACAAGGAAAATGATTTGTAATTTGCTAGGGATGGAAATTTTCGAAAGCATTTTAACTAATGTAAAGTTTTAATCGGATTGGAGTTGTGTGTTTTTTTATTAATTTTATGGGTATAAAATAAAATTTTCAGTCGTCTTAATTTCTAGAAAACAACAATTTTGATTTTGATTTTGATTTTTTTTGAAACAGTTCATAAAACTTCAAGAGACTTAACAAGAAATTTCCTCAAATTCAGCTTTCGAATATCTTCAATTAATAAATAATAATATCTTTCACATTAAATGGAAGATTTTTAAAAGCAAAATAAATTAAATATATTTATCACCTGCAGTTCCAAAATTATTTTGTTTCATTCTGAAAAAAAAAATTATCTAAAATTGATTACCAGACATAAAATTACATAATTTTGTAGTTTAATGAGGCTCATAAACAGCAAATGTTTTGGTGTACTTGTACTGTAAGCGCATTGCTCGCTTTAAACTGTTTCGGCGGTTCTACTTCATTTAAAGTTTAGGTGTGCAAACACCAGTGAGTGGTTAAGAACGTTTTTGCCTCTATCTAGGATTGTTCTTTGGCGTGACTATCACTAAGAGCAGTAATGGATTCGATTCGCTAAGGGCTATTTATCGATGGATTATTTACAGTGCCATGAGACATATTTTTACAAAATATTTCATATCTAGCCACTTAGGCTACATTTTAAGTTAAAATTTTTAACAACCACACAGTCACATTCTTTACATTGCTTGTTATCATGTTTTTCTTAATTTTTTTGTTTTATGTCGAGAATTATAAATCTCAATACTTTTGTACTTTTAATACCTTAAGGTAAATAAACCAATCTATCTATCTATCTATCTAAAATACTTAAAAACTCAGAATCATCAACAGCTGTCATCAACCCCACTCTCTGGTAGGAATACAAAATAAATGATTATGCAAATTGTCTACCCCTCTGCACTTGCTAGATTGATATTCTATTTCAATTTATATACGATTTATTATCAAAAAAAAAAAAAATAATAATTATAATTATTTGAGTCAGAGCTTTATACTGTCTTAATCCAGTTTCAGAGTTAAATGGAAAATGTGTGAACTTGGATCGAGGAGAGTAGAGTTTCATATGATACAAAGTTTAGTAGTTAAGACTCATTTGGCTTTACACCGAATTTATATCGTGTACAATGTGCTTTGGTTCTGCTAGAATTTATAAGTTTAGAAATACTCAGCGCGTCGCTAACCCAAAGTAACCCTCAAAATACAAGTTATATTACAGAAAAGTACTAGAAAAATTAATTGAGAGCAATTTTAAACCACATGTAGTCCCAGACACATTTTTATTACATATATTTCAAATCATCTCATTGATATTTGACTCAGTTTAATGTAGAGAAGTATATCAATGTGATAGAGTATAATTTTTGGAGTTTCCATGTCAAAAACTGAACATCGTACCCGGGAAAGTTTATGTGGTTATTGTATTCTTGAAAAAATTATTAACGGATGTGTGGGTTAATGCGTGATAAATAAACAGAGTAAATTGTCTAGACCAGATTTTACATAATGAGGAATCAAATTGTCTTGCATACAATCAACAATAATATTTAATATAGGAGAATCTACTCAATGATTACAGAATCGTGACTAATTGTCCATATCTGATTTTCGAAAGTTTATACTTTTTACTTAATCTTATCTAAATGTAGCAGAAACAAAACGATTTCACGTGCATTTGATGAAAACAATGTCTTTAGTTATATTGAGACTAATTTAAACTCAAACTCATATCTTTAGCATATTTTATAGCGAAAACTTTCTTCTTTAATAAATTTCATCATCTATACCAAGAGTTCTCAAGAGACCTTAAATCTGTAATATAATTACACGTGACCATAGAGTGAACATCAATACAATTTTTGCAAGATGATTCAGTGCAAAAAAAAGATAAGAAAACATGCAGCAAAAGAATGCTTCCGGATCTGCAATAGACTTTAGAATCATCTTTAGACAACTATGTATTGAGGAAGGAAGTTCACTAGAAGTGCAACGCATTAAAAATGTGAAGTTTGAACTACCTTGAGATAACGAGAGCATGCATGATGGACGGGTGTACAGTCTAACATGTTGAACTATCGTCCGCATTATTATAATACTTACAAGAGCTTAAAATTTCATTCTTCACCCACATGGTTAATGCATGATTTTGCAAAATAAATATATTTACAAAGTTTTATGTCATGAATGTCACACGACAAGGATGACTTGTAGCCACAATTATTATTATCAAAATTATGATTTTCATATAAAAAATAAAATTATAATTTTTTATTCTCTATAAAAAAAAAATGCTGCCAAGATTTCCCGCACGTATGCATTTTTAAATTAATTAAATGGGAAAATACTGTGATCGCGACTTTATTGCGTCTTGTTTACATAATAACTGTCGGACCGCTGAAGAAAAAAAGAAATCTGATTCACGTGATTTGATGCTGCACGGGTTAAGAGCGGTTTCTCGTCGAAAAGTTTTTTTAAATCACGTAATTATCTCGACTGAAGTTTTTACTTGAAGGTAATAAGGTTAGTGAGTAACTGATAACTCGGAAATGCTCTTATTTTTCGAAAGTTTCGTATGTGATGTGATTTATTTTTAAAGAACAAAATAGCTACGTGAATTTCCTTTCAGAAGCAATTTTAGGATCATTATTATATGACTGGAGATCGACGTTATAAGTGACGTAAACTTTACTTAATTTTTGAAAATTTTACAATTGAATCGTACTGCTGATAATAAAACTAGTAAAGGATTTTCAAATCAGATTTGTAGGATTATTTTTAAATATTTTAAGACTTGCAAGCTAGTGAAATTTATAGTTTAATAAACTATACTGATTAAGATCGATTTGTGTATATTAAATACTGTTATCTCGTGCATAAAATTATAAATTATATTAAAAATTACTTGTGATTTTCATGAATATCAATCTCATGAGCTTGAACACGTTGCTTTTTTAGTTCTAAAGCATTAATTCATGTAATTGTAATTGGAAATCAAATTTAAAAGCTTCAAAGTTTAGTCTGATTTTAAAAACTTTAGGAGTTCTATCTATAAAATACTTAATTTTTTATAATTTCCTTTCACGCAAAAATGCACAAACTTTATGATTACACGAAATCAATTAAAACATATTTCTAAAATAGAAATGCATCTGTTCAGAAAATAATAAGCCATGCTTTACAGTTCTCTCAATTAAATTAAATCATTACGAGCCAATTTCTTTATCAAGTGTTTACAAAGAGAAAGTCATAATACAAAGTACATTTCATGATAATTGCTGATTATCTTCACGGTTAATTTTGCCCCGTGTGTCATTTTAAAGTCAAAAAATATAGTTGCAACAAAACATTTGAAAAACAACTCCAATTTCTCACAGATAAGTTTAAAGGCATTTTAAATTAAAATATACAACCGTCATCAAGGTGCCAAAGCTGATTAAAAATGTTTAAAGTCACTAGATAATTTAATGATGTAATGAGAGAAATATTCTCATGGTCTAGAACTAGATTAAATGTTGATGAGAAAAAATAGTGCAGAAAAAGTAGATCATGATTGTACTCATTATATTTAATGTACTGGAGATCACGTGCTGCATTAAACGAGATTCTTTCTTTCTTTTTTTGCATCACAAAAGTTCACAGAAAATTAATTTTACAATCAGTGAAAAACAATATGATTTTTTCCAGACACATAAAATTCTTTATATATTTTTCGACCTAAAACCTTCCTTAACCCATTGATTGATAGAGCAGTGCTTGAAGTCAACGCAAATATTGTATGCAATTGATTCAGGGAAGGGTCAAAGAGAGCTCGAAACTTTTCATATCTAAAATTTGTATAAAAAAAGGCATTAGCTTCTTAGTTTCCTTTGTAAAGAATCTCACCTTTACAGTCTGTAATATTGTAAACTCCAAATTTAAAGATATTCTTGGAAACGTGATAAAAATGATTCACAAAGCATTAAAAATTACATCAGACTATTAGAGTTGCTTTTTTGTTTACTTTTTGTTTACGAAGCCATAGAGCCTTTAGCAACAGTAACAAATCCATAGATTAATGTATGAAAATGATTTGTACGAATTATTTTTTCTTTCCTAACCTTGAACCAGTTCATTCTACCGATTCGTCAACAAGAAATCTCCCTTATACACACGTATTTTTCATCCCAGTCGATCAAAGTTCAGTTGGAAGCTTGAAGGCGGAGCGAAAAAAAAAAGGAAAAATTCACTAATATAATATAAAAATTCAGAATGATTAACTCCCTTGTTTATAAAATATTTTTAACTTGCTGACAACGAGTAAAAACAAGCCGAGTGATTAGAGTTCAATCACACATCAGACTCATGATACTTCGCTATGCAATCTTCTTATTTTCTTCTTTATTTTCGGACTTGTCATGATAACAAGAGAAATTATTAAGCGGTTTTACGAAGTAAAGCCTTGATAAGATAAGACCCGAAAACATCGACAAGCAAATTTTAAATGCAGTTATTAACGTCAGTGCAAGTGAATTGAAAATTATCAAATATTTGCTTATATAAATTTAACAACGATGATGAGTGGGTAACATGAAATAATTGCAATAATGAAGCTATTTATTTACACGCGAAAATAAGAGCCGAGCCCACTTCGCTAGATCCTCGAAGAATTTTTAATTCAATATTATTTATTATTGGAACGTGAACAAAAAAAAATGATTATCATTTAAAAAGAAGGCTGATTGTCATTATTTTACTCACGAGTTGACTCTCAATTTAGATAACAAGAGTGAATGGTTAGAGGACGAAAGGAAAGTTATAAATAAAATATTTTTAATGAAATGGTTTGTTTTGCTGTAAACTTCGATAATTCGACAAATTATTTTATATACTATTGGTATTTCTTTTAAATAAGGTGCTTGCTTTTTGTTTATTACAATATTTACAATACATATAACTATTTTATAAAGGGTAATTCCATGAGTGAAAAAAATTTTAGTGCTCCAATTTTTCAAAAATATTTCCTTAACTAAGAACTTTGTACTCCAAATTGTAACTTTATTATGTTTATTAACACAATATTTATCTCCATATGTGAGAGTTTCACATCAGAAATATGTCTAATTCTTGTTTTTTTAATAAAAGTAAAATTAATCGGTCAAGTTTTCGAAAAATCGTTTTCTAAACATTTCCTAATATTTACTTAAATACACACTTCTATGTTCCAAAGTTACTTTTAACATATTAGATATTAGCCAGGCTTTTGTTTTATGTATAATTTGCATTCCTTAATGCTTTAATTAAGAAGAAAAATCAAAAAAACTAGCATTAATCGGTCAATTTTTGACCGATTATTGCAAAACAGAACACTGAAAAAATTTCAAATTCACAAAAACCATTAGATTTTCTTGATTTTACTTGTAAGTTTATTACATTTATTTGATTTAATTGAGCAAGTAACTAAAGTTTCAAAACATTAAAGATCATGTATATTTGAACCATCTCTCTTTGATGGTATTGCGGCTAATTCACTCGAATAAACAACAAAACGTTTAGAAATTATAACGGTTTTGGGAAATTTGAATTTTTACAAGTAGAGAAATATTGCATAGTGCTTTTTCACAGTTCTCATTACTCATGGAATTACCCTAAAGTAATATGTGTATGAAAGTTTATTGACAACTCCTAACCGTCAAATTTCTCTCAATGTCAAGAGGCTATCGGAAAGAATCTGTTCTTGCTTTCATATTTCTTTATTAAATGCATTAAGTTAGCCTTAAAAGTCGATTTTCATTCTTCAGCAGCAAATGATTTATATTTCGAGTTTTATATTTTAAGCACAGATTGATTTTGTTATAACCTTTCTACATTTCATATTGATATTCCTTAAAATTCTTTGTACATTTCAATTTTTGAACTAGATACTCTTATCATTTTATATGTGTAGTATGTAAGACTGTAACTATACTATTGGTCATCTTTAAATTCATGTTTTAAGCCTTGACATCCAAAATTGTATGTCCGCAGTATGATTAACAAATGCGCCTAAACCTTGATTTTTTTTAAAAAAATCCTCATTTGATGATTTTTAAAATAAAAGTACCCAGATCAATTTTAATTGTTGTGTTTATAAATTAAATTAATTAAATGAAGCATTGTTGGTGTAAATAAGTCTGACTTTCTCTCTCCTTTTTGGTGACCTGCACGAATTTTGACTTTACTCGACTTTGCAGCTAACAGCAATCTTATTTTTCTTCTTAATGATCGAAAGAAGAAATAAGAGCATTTGCTTATTTTTGTGTTTTTTATTGCACATATTGACCCTTCTGGTGTCACATATATTTCTTGTCTCGATTAAAGTGATTTATTTGATTATTTGCGTAAATCATAATGAGACAGTAAAATAAATTTTTCCATGTATATAATATGAACATAAAGTTAGAATCCAAAGTTCAATTCAGTTCTCATTACTCATGTTTTATATGAGAAATAAATAGAATGAAAATTACAATTATATATTGTAGCTGCTCTTCTTTTCATATTTATTATAAAGAAAAGATCATCTTCGCAATTCAAATAAAATTTATTTCCTTCTCAAATGGTCCAAAGGTTTTTCCATATTTGCATCATCAGTCTCGTATAGTTCACAGCATTTTTTGACTGAGCAATTGCTTATCTATTCAGAATAAAGCTTAGTAATTGTTAAGTCAGCAATAAATGTATTGATATGCAGGTAGCACCTTGTTCAAAGTCCTGATGAATGTTGACTGCTTCGTTTACTATGTCGTTTAAGGAACTTTGAAATTTTTCGGAGAGGTAATTGAAAATGATAAAATGCTATATAAGGTAGAGGATCCCAATACAAGAACAATGCTTCTCTTTTATCCAATACTGATCCTATCAGCTTCTCTATTGACTGCGCTGAAGGATTCTTAATTGTGTTTGCGACTGTGTCAGGAAGAAAGTGTCTCGATTGTGTCATTGAGCCTGAATTTTTGCGTTCAAAATGAGGACATGGTTTTTGTACGACACGTGACTGTACACCGGTATAACATAAATATGATAATGTCACACCAACTCGCGTTCCTAATGTTAGTAAATTTCCACTGGCTTCGCTTTTAACAAATCTAAAGCTTACGTGTCCATTTATGTTGCGCATAAAGCGAACCTTCTCGAAAAAGTCGTTAAGCCATTTTTCGATTTCAGGATTTGATTCAGGCACTAAATTGCGAGTATCAGGTTGAATCGCACAAGTGACATTAGCAATAACTTTTGAATCTTTAATCGTGCTACATGTCACATAATGTTTTCCGGGCACATCACGTAGGACAATCCATGGCTTATCTTCACTTATTTCTACTGATAAATTTAAATCGCGTTTATTTGCAGGCAGAATATATTTTTGTCTCTCAATAATTCCTTGTGCACCTGTTGCTATGAGAACATTACGGAAGTTTTTCATAAATCCAGAGTCGTATAATTTCATCAGATCTTCTTTGCTGTTTAATACACGATAGGGTGGAACTGGAATATTTCGGTTTTCGCATTTCTTCAAAACACTTCCAATATCATCAAGAATTGAAACTTCTTGAGCACCAGGACAAAAAATTCTTTGGACACCTTCTAGTTCCATGTGAGGCTTAGCTAGTGCATCGAAATAAGCTGGTGATGTTGCACAAACAGGGATATAGAGTGATGGCTTTTCAATTTCAACAATGCGCATAACAGCATTTACATAATCATTTGCATTTTCTTTTGCTGATGCTGGAATTGTGTAGAATTTATCAACGGCTACTGAAAATCTTGCTAGTGCAAAAAGTCCTTCAAACTCAAATGCAATAACTCGTGCACCAGCTGAATGGAAATTTCTAGCTAAATGAAGTGCCTGAATTGTACTTCCGCCAGAAATGAGGACTGTTCGCTTTTTCCTGCTTCTCTCATGTGCCGGTGTGTGTAAGAAAATAAGGACATTTTTCAGCAGTGCAAGTGGATATGAAATGAGTTTCCAGAAGAGCCACAAAAGTGCTGATAACCAGAATGATGGAGTTGACTTGAAATTCCAAACATTTTTCATCATAAAGTTAATGAATTTTTGGCACAATGAAATAATCAACAATGGCCACCATAAAATTAATCTCAGAATGATATGCAAACTGCTAACTTGATGTTTTTCATCCTCACTTGCATGTATATGAGTTCCGTTACTGATTGATTTAGAGTCAACAATTTTTTTTAATTCCTGGTCTTCAGGAATGAGCATAAATGTGCTTGAAAAATGTCTTCTTAATGCTGATGGTTGTGGATGTGATGAACTTAATCCATTTGGAGGAGACCCTGATCTAGGTGGCGAGTTAAATGGCGATTTACTGACCGGAGATGAAGGCACTGTTTTTGAATAAATTTTTGTGTTTGAATTTATGATTGAGTTTTTCATCACAATTGAGTGTGTTGAATCACTTCTTGTCCAAGGACCGAAGAAATTTTGTCTCTTAGCTGACGGCATATTAATTAACGGTTAAGTTCAATTCTGTTTGATTAAATGTACTTGAAATAATTTTCTTTAACTGTCTATAAATCTGCTGTATCAGTTTATTTTTATTTTACTTTTGACATCGATTTTTTTTCGATAATCTTTTTAATAAAGTTTTTTTTTATTATTCACATCAAATCACTTTCTTTTTCTTTTCCATGTGTTTTCCGTTCGATCGATCAGAATAGACTGAAAATAATGAACAGGCTAAACGCTCTTTAAAATTAAATGGAAAATGAGAGACAACTGATTTTTATTTTTCGTAAAGAAATTTACTCAAAAATATATTTTACTGAGTAAATCTTGTCACAAAAATGTACTTTAACCTTCGCGGCAATAAAAAGAACTTCAATGAATGGCAAGGGCTCGAGTGCTTGACGAATATGATTTTTGTCGTTAATATGATACTTTAGTGAGTGTTGTGTCGTTTAATGAGAATTTGTGACGTTATTCAGAGTTTATTGACGTTTAATTTGAGCTCAATTTTTGTTTATGCTGATTTAAGAAAGTTTAAGTTATCTGATTAGCACTTTCTTATGTTAATTCTTAGCAGGGAAACTGACTTGCTTTTTGCACATATTAATATAAATCTTCATTTAATTCATTGACTTACTTGTTAATATCCATGTAGAGCTCGTGAAATTGATTCAAAAATTCACATTTAAATAGCATTAATTAAAACACGTGTAATTTTTGTTTCTTTTCTTCTTTTTCGGTTTTTTTGCTTTACTTTTTTCAATTTTTCTCATTTTTTTATTGTTTTAAAATTTTTCGACTTTTTTTTTTCTTTTTTCGCGTATTTTGTTAACAACTTTGTTTAAGATTATTGCAATAAATAATATATAAACTTTTTTTTTGTATTGTTTTATGTTTCATTCCTTAGATTCTAATAGTACATTTTTTCGCAATATTTCGATTATTTAATTAAATGTTATCACAATTTATTATGTTTCGCGGGTATGTAAGGTGTGTATTGTAAAAAACTTATTTAATCTTATTGATGCAATATAAACTTTTTATTTACTTACGTTTTACATTAAAATTTCCAATTTCTCTTTATCTGCCAATATAAATTTCCACTTTGTCGCTTATCAAATAGATTTTAAAAAAAAACTATAATTATTATAAAAAGTGTAAAAACACTTTGTTACACAATTATTTAAAAGGTACTTCGTCGTTCAATTATTAAAATATAACTCATTTGTTTGGCTATAAAGGAAAGACTAAAACAAGAACAATAGATATAAACAGGAAGTAGTAACCGACAGGACGGCAACAAGGAATAAAAAATTTCGTCCGAGCGAATAAATAAATAAAACATCTGTTACACGAGTACAGACCTTTCCAACTCCCTCAACACTTACACATTTAAAATAATAGTTGCTACCCGTTTCCAATAGTTTCATAAGAACTAAGGATTGGAAATAAATTTAACATTACAATCGAGAGACTCAAACTTTTGCATAGTGATGACTCACAAGACATAAAAATTTTCAAGGTTGCTTGATAATAAACTTTTATGTGTCACTCTAAACACCCCTCAAAATAAATATTTTTGTGTCCCTCAATTCTATAAATTTCCACTTTCCTTCAAGCCAATAATAAAAATTTTCTCATATAATTTCATTTGTTTAAAAACTGGCACAGTCTTTTACGTCATAAATTTTGTCTAACATATATCCAAAGAATATCTTCTTTGTACGATTCCCGTCTCATACTTTAAATTTTCTAGCAAGATTGATTCTTTAATATTATTTTCTGATTTTTTTACTTATGACGTCGGAACCAAAATGTAATCCAACCCTTCATAAGTAAACAAACTCTTAATAACTTATCTCTATACTTAATACATTTTTAATCAACAAGAAATGGGAGTTCCTGATTATTGCCGATTAACTTTTATGTGATGTTAATCTCATTTCAGATCTTCACTGTTTACAACTTTTAATTTAAATCCAAGATTTAATTTATAGCACCAAGTTTTATGTATTGTACGAATCAGCAAATGATCAAGAAGCTCCCATTCTTCAATATCTTTGTTGTAATTTTATTTATTTTACGAAGTTAATAAAAATTTTTAAAAAAATAAACATAACTCATTAAAATCTTTGTAAATAACATGAGCAAAAATAATAGCTACTCAAAAGCATGCACATAACGTGTAGCTCCTTAAATTGTTAAGGGTTATAAATTAATGTTTTTCTTGTCGATATTTGTGTTGATAATGTTAATTATTTTCTTGAATGATCCACAAAATGTATATGAGCATAAAAAAATTAAAAATTGAGATAAATATTTCTTGCTTTTTTGCTGTAAGTGTCTTGAGTGACATATTTTACATATCGAAATGATCTGGAAAAATATGTTTTAGATTTATCGTTAAATTTTACATAATAAGCAGCAAATTTTTTTAATGTTTTCGCTTAGATCTAATAAGATAGAGCACGTCCTTCTTTAATAAGTAAGTCATGAATTTTTTCATTCTTACCGAATAGGACAATTTCGTAAACTTCCTGCTTTTCATACGGATCACTTGAGTGAACATTTTTGATGACAGCTGGGAAGCTTTTATTTTCAGTCATTTTCTTGAAGTAAATAGCATCATCTGGTGTAAAATCTTTGTTTGCTGGTTTTACGCCTGTAGAATAAAATAAATATACAATCAGAAGATGAGAAATTAAATTGATTTCTGAATGAATTGTATGCGAATTTCATTTTCTTCAAGAGTAAACATTTTAAATTCGAGGATTAATTTTAATCCAGTCACTTTAAATCTCGATCAATAACTTACCATAGAGCCGAGCCTTCAGTGCAAGCTTTGGTAAAGTTCTAAATTTGTTTGGTAACGTTCTCATTTTGTCTAATGATATAGTCTTAAAGTTTCCTGAATCAACAAAAAGGCAGTTGATGAAGTTCTTGTCAATTAAGCTTTCCACAGATGCTCTACATTGATTAAAGAAGAATAATGTCGAAAAAAATATGTAAACAAAAATGTACAAAACTTTCACGCAAAAACATAGCAAAAATAAACATACCTAACCCACTTCTGCGAATCATCGTCAAATACTGCATAGCATTCGCCTTTCTGTATGTCTGTTAATGATGTAAACTTTCCGATGCTCTTACAGTGCGATTTAAGATCGCTCAAGAGACTATTTAAATTCTTTAAGTCATCTTGAAGTTGAATTATGAAGCTTAATGGACTGGATACAAGTGATACAAAGATATTTATGAATTCTCCATTGTTCTTCAATTGGCGGCGTTCCAATTTAATCAATGGCTCATTTGGGCTGTACATTAAATTATTATAATTCTTAGATTTTTATTTTTATGAGAATTACAAATAACTTACCTGAAACTTTGTAAATCCGTTCCTAAAACTTTTGCAAATTGTTCATTTATGTTGATAATTATACTCTCGCTGTTATGAGTGCTGTACATAAAGAGATTGACTTGTGGGAAATTACCACTTGCAATGCTTACGACTTTTGCCTAATAATGAAAGAAAATTTCACTTTATTAAGCAATAAAGAAATTTTTCTGCAATAACTTACGAATACAGTTCGTCCAGACGGCAAAATTCCGAGCAATCTCTTCCTAACGTCATCAGTGAAAGTGACTCCAAACAAACCCATCTTTATAACTTGTGTTGGATATAAGGACAGAACATACGAGACTTTATCGAGACGATAAATGTCTTGGTTCCTTACGATTATCTTGTAACCGTGATCAATCAAAAACATCAAAATTGAATCGTTGTCAATCAATTTGTCAACACGAGCACGGAACCAATTCTTTAATTTATCATTGTAAACAAGATAAACTTTCTTCTTATCAGACTTGTCAGCATAAGGTCCGCGATATTGATTAATATCATCTTTCGAGATATTGTTAATCAACTGCTGGATGTATGAATATGACTTTAAAAGTTGGCAATAAATGGCATCATCTCCAATGTGAGTTATAACGATTTGATTACTATCTTTTTGATTCAATGTAGGCGGTTGCACCGATTTCAAAATTGAGTTCATTAAAATCTCATTCAAGTTAACATCATCATCAGTTGATGTATCATACAGAATCATCTTAATTGGCTTCGTTCTATTAGCTTCGTAATACTCTTGATTCATCATAATTTCAGCAACAAGAGACTTATATATGAATGGCTCAAAAAGAGTTTGTTGAATAATGTTTGGATCATTTTCAAATTCCTCTAATCCAAAAAGTGATAATTTGAATGCCTGTGCTGCTATTATTAGAAACTCTGGCTTACAAACAAAAATATCATTAAACGGAATCCATTCAATATCGCCATTATCAATGCAAATACAATTTGCCTCTTTTTCAGCCATTTCAATAACCTTGATACGATGCCAGCAAGATTCAATTGATGTAAGATAAATGTGATTAGCTTTTATTTCCATTGCACGCTCCTTGTTCGACATCATAAATATCTGTGATTGAGCGTCGGACATAGAGAAATAATAATTAAAAATGTGTGCATGACGAAATTACGGAAGATAAATATGCCTTTGTATGCAAAACAATGAAATAAGTGACAATCGAAAACGCATTTAAAGCTTGAAAAATGAAAACTTTTTTGATGAAATTTAAGTAACGGCTAAAGAAGTGCTAAAATGCGCTAGAAATTAGCATGCAAACTTGAACTGACAAATTTCACAAAAATGTAAAATAAATTAAATAGAGTTTTCTGCGTAGTACCTATAAATTTAATGTTCACATATCTATTTTAATTCAACTCACCTCAATATCGTTCAATAATTTATCCAACGCATCGCTATATTCTGCACCAATTAAACGACCACAGATTTCATTTGGACTAAAAGCACTTGTAACGAAGATATTCCACAACTTATCCTTCCATGGATAAACTAATTCGGGAATGTTTTGAGTTGGATTATTTGGCGTTAATGGACGATCAATAGAGCCATCACCAATTGCAAAAATTATTTCCTCATTGCATGAAATCATCTCGAACGTGAACAATTGTCTGTCAAAGAATTTAACAATTTGATTCCAATTTTCAGGCAATGATAATTTATAATTCTCAATATAGAGATTAGCAATGTGCTTAGAAAAGACACCACCAATTGAGTTGCGAATCATAGACCATATCTTTTGAGCTAAATCAAAATCGTTTGATAAGTCCAAAGGATTACGTGCCAAGTCTTCTTCACGCTTTATTTCATTAACAGCAACTTTGCAGCATGCTTCTTGAGCTTCAGCTTTTGATGGGGAGAAATCGTTGTACGACATGTAAGTTTTTCCATTAATTGTAACTTGGCAAGTTAAGCTGCCCTTTGTTAAGGGATTATCGAGAAACTTTAGTTCCGGTGCATCGATACTCATCATTTGGCAGTACTTGATAAGCTTATCATAATGACTTCCTGGCGAAATGAACCATGAATCTGGAATGTTGACACTATTTGCTGCTTTAATATCTTCTGGGCTTAATTCACCTTTGCGTTTTAATCGCTCTGATAATGGCATCGTTAATTTAGGTAGCGGTTTAACAGCAGCATGTCCATTTCCAATTTGTGGATTGTAATTTTTCTGGAAAACATTATTGTTATTATTATTCGTGCTGCTGTTGATTGAACGATTACGTGGAGCGATTGGTGCTTTCAAAGTACGTATTATCATTGGCTGATTATTGTTATTATTATTGCCATTCCTGTGCTGTGGTTTTGGACGATTCAGACGTGCAGCATATCGAACATCAAAACGCTCTTCTATGCCATTTGCAGGTTTTAGATAATGAAAAGTCTTGTTAAACTTCATGATTGATTGAAGTTTAAGTTCTGGAATTTTACGTCCTTCCAATTCTTCATAATCTCGCTGCAATTGTGGAACTGTGACAGGTCCTTTACGTGATATAATAAGAGATTTTAGGGTTTCGGTGAGAGCTTCATCTGACGGTACACGATCCATGTTTTTCACGATTCGCGTTGACCAATGGAGCTTCTGATTATTACTTTTAGAATTCGTGATTGGAAAAATTTTGTAGACTATTGCAATTGAAAAAATTTAAGGTTTTTGAAGAAAGATGAGTTGTAACTTGAAAATTGATTGTTTATTTTATTTGTTGAGGATTTTAGCAGCTCATTTTTTATTCAATAATGAAAAACAGGAACCCTAAAAAAGCAGCACAAAAAAAAAGAAGTAAAAAATAGTTAATAAATGCACGAAGTTGCAAAATAATTGTGCAAACAAACAACGATCATATACAGAACGCAAATAAACCTGTGACTTGAATAAATAACAATGGTTTAAAAGAGCTCTTGAATGATCGTAAAATAGAAGAAAAATGGAATGAGAGAAAGTAGGCACCTTAAAGAAATTTTTTAAACTTTTTTTTTTGAAGAATTTAATTAAATTGTGCTAGTGACTTTTGCCTTTTTTATTTACTGCTACCTTTCTTATTATACTAATGACTTGCTTATCACTATCTCGTATCATTACTTTGGAATTTTAATTAGAGCAAATGAAAAATTTTCAAATTATGGAATTTTCCTATTTTGACTTACTTTTCTTTAATAATTCCACTTTCTATGGATATAATACTGTTCCTTTAACACAATTATACATTTGATATTTATATAACGCCAGCGATTCACAAGAAATTAATTAATTAACTGAGGAGTGAAAAAATTTTTGAACGAAATCTGACTGAAATGATCGTGCCAGAGTTGGTAATCTGTAATCAATATCATCTCAACTTTTTGTCTCATTATACTGACTAAATAGAGCTCTTGTAACTGTCCTGTGCATGCTAGTTGCAAAAAGTAATTAATTGTCTGTCTTTGAATGTCATTAATATAAACTGTTTGCTGAATTTTAATTCCCAAACAACTTTGAGTCTCCAACACTGGAAGTTCCATGGGAAAACGCAAACGGTTTTGAATGCATTCAAATATCTCGTGACAGTCAGACACAAAAGAAACAGAGCGCATTATTTGGAAAGCAACTTAAAACTCACATGTGAATATTTCAAAACATCATATAAATAAAGAATTAAGTAATAATTAAAGCTATTCTTAGTTCATTCAAGATGCCGAAAACAAGCTCACGTACAGGTCCTCCGAGGAAGGAAGGAAAAATGAATAAAAGTGGACATTCATTGAATCCAGACAGAAGTTCTGATAATCTTAAAGGAGTTCAGCGACCAAGATCCAAAGGAACCATTAAGAGATTGCAAATGTACAGAAATTTCAAGGCAAAGCGAGATAGACGTGGAAAAATCATTAAAGCAGCTCCATTTCAAGATTGGGTATCGTCAGGAACAGTATCAAGAGTTGAACCATCGCCAAAATGGTTTAGTAATTCAAGAGTAATCTCACAATCAGCCTTGCAAAAGTTCCAAGATGAAATGGGAAAAGTTATGAAGGATCCATATCAAGTTGTGATGAAGCCTACAAATCTTCCAATTACTTTATTAAATGAAACTGCAAAATATCAAAGAGTTCATTTATTAGACACACAGTCATTTGAGACAACATTCGGAAGTAAAAGTCTACGCAAACGACCCAGTTTAAAGGCTAGAGATTTGGAGGATTTATCAAAAGCAGCTGAGGACGCAACAGAAAAGTATAGCGATGATAAGGATCACGATTTAATAAGAGATGATGGTGGAATTAGACAAATGCCTCGTGATTGGGTCTTTGCTGCTGGCCAAAGTAAGAGAATTTGGAATGAATTGCACAAAGTTGTCGATTCAGCTGATGTTCTTTTACAAGTGCTTGACGCAAGAGATCCAATGGGTACACGAAGTAAATACATTGAAGAATTTTTAAGGAAAGAAAAGAAGCACAAACATCTCTTCTTCATTCTTAATAAAGTTGATTTAGTTCCAATTTGGGTGACACAAAGATGGGTCGCAATATTGTCACAAGAATATCCAACAATTGCTTTCCATGCCTCGATGACACATCCATTCGGTAAAGGTGCTTTAATTAATTTACTTCGTCAAATTGGTAAACTTCATACTGACAAGAAACAGATTAGTGTTGGATTCATTGGATATCCAAATGTCGGTAAGAGCTCAGTTATTAATGCATTAAGAAGCAAAAAGGTCTGTAATGTAGCTCCAATTGCTGGTGAAACAAAAGTCTGGCAATACATCACTTTGATGAAGAAGATTTTCCTTATTGACTGTCCGGGTGTAGTTTATCCATCAGCTGAAACAGACACAGAGAAAGTGCTTAAAGGTGTCGTCAGAGTTGAGCTAGTAACAAATCCAGAAGATTATGTTGAACAAGTTTTAATGCGTGTTCGAAAAGAATATATGATTAAGACGTATGGAATTAACGAATATGATAATCATATTGACTTTTTGGAGCAGCTGGCTAAGAAATCAGGCAAGCTTGTTAAAGGTGGCGAGCCAGATGTTAACGCAATCGCTAAAATGGTCTTAAATGATTGGCAACGTGGTAAACTTCCATTTTATGTAGCTCCAGAAGGTTTTGAAATTCCAAAATCAAGAACAGAAGAGAAGAAGGATGAAGGCAAAGAAAATGAAGTTAAGGCTGCAGAAGATGACGAGACAAAGAGTATAGCAACAGCAGTTTCACAGTCAGTCATTAAAGGACGTGAATTAAGACAATTGCAAGATTTCCGAAAGATTAAAGTAAATTTAGACTATGATCCAGAAGACATCAAGGAACTAGATCAAGAAGGAATTAAGGAATTTGAGGAAGCAAAGAAACAGCAAGGAGATAGAAAGAAAAGAAAGCACGATGACGAGGAAGAATCTTCAGGAATTAGTGATTTCTATTCCGAGGATGAATATGACGAAGAACAAAATAAAGTTGTGCATCGAAATGCTGGAACTAAGATAAAAACAACACCGAATGGCAAGAAACAAAAAACCACAAGTGGATTTTTCAAAGTGGAGGACATCAGTGAGCAACCTAAAAAGGAAAAAGTCATCAAGAAAGTCACAGCCAAGCAAAGGCGAGCAATTGAAAGGAAGGAGAAGCCTAAGAAAGTCGGCAGTAATTTCTACGATGTCGTTAATGTTAAGAATAAAACTAAAAGCAGAAAATTTGCTGGTAAATGAACGAGAAATTATAAAAATTATTTTATATGAATTGTTTTCAATCGTTTATTGTTTTCATCGCTTTTTAAGAATTAAAAATTTTACTTTGCTAAAGAGAGAAAATGGCATTCTTTATCAAAGAACTTTGGCGTTTTATTCAGTTTTGTGTGACTTCTTTATAAAATGTCACTGTCAAAATCTTTTTTATCTTTATTTATTTCAGTTTAGCGAGTACGAGAAAGGTTGGAATAGTTTTGTTTCAAGCGTAATTGGAAAAAGAATTTGTAACAATAAACAGCCTTAATTCTATACGACAAAATTAAATGTGATGCTTCAGGATTTTAAAGTTTAATGTCTGATAACCGTACAAATGTTGTCAATGTCTTTTAAAACCACACAAATTACAACTTATTTTGGAAACTCTACAAATGTTTGTGTTTTAAAACATTACAATTCCATCAAAAAATGAGACCGAGTTTCAAAAAGTCTTTTTAAAAAACTTCACACATATCCATTTGAATCAAATCAAACTTATTTTCAGATCCTGATTCCCAAAAGTGTCAGATTTTAAATAATATTCGTGTCACACTTAATATCATTAAAATTAACAGTAGAATTTATTGTGACAGGCAATTACTCCAATCAAAACCAACGGATGATAATTTTGTTATCACATAAAATTTTGTCGTACTCAAGCAATTGGAAATTCATGTTTCTCCGCAGTTAATAGGAAACTACAAGCATAACTATTTTTTTAAGAAGAAGAAAATTTGTCTTTACGTGTGGTTTGGATATACGACAAAAATAATTAAAAATTACTTAAAATTTGGTATTTAATTCTAATACTAGTTGATTCAGCTAGATTTATGTTTACGTGGTGTCAATTCTGCATCATTATCACTCTTCTAAAAATAGACAAAAATTATGCATTAATTCCTGAATAAGTAATTAAGAGAAGGGTTTAGTTACCTGGAAATGCTTATGATAAAACATACAGCCCGAAACGAAAATAATTGATAATACAGCTTGAATGAGTAGCCACCAAATGACCTTTGTTGCTTGTGTTTGACTAAATAATTCCTTTCCGTTTTTAATGCACAGAATAGCCTCAGCAAACATGACAGCACAGTAAACCCAACATTGTGTACCCATTCGTTTGCATGTTGTATCCGTTGAATAAATATAGTATTGCCTCACAGACGGTGCCGTGAAAAGTCCAATTAAAATCAGTCTTACAATCACAATCGGATGTGATGGTGGCATCTCAAAGATGTGCTTTAAAAAGAACGTATTGAGTTCTGTGACTTGCCAAAATATGACTAATTGACAAACTGATAAAAATCTCATATATGTGCATTTTGGATCCATCCAACGAACAGCTGTCCAGCTTTCTGGTGTAAATTGTAAGGCAGCACGCTTTAATTTTCCAGACGTTGATGAAATGTCACGCAGACCAACCCATTTGTATTCACGCATTTCCAATACCTTGCAGAGTTTAATTCCACACCAAATTCCAAATCCATTACAGAGTAGAATGTCCAGAATTATTGCATCCCACCAGCATTCAACAAAATTTGGTAACAAATGAGCAAATTGAATTTCTGTTATTTCCCACATCACTGAAATGCACCATAAGATACCCGTATGACGAATTAAAATACCCTTAAACATCCATCCAAGATAATGAGCAAGTGCGAAGCAATCAATGTGCTCATAAATCTTCTGAACAGTCACAATTGAGCAATTAACTCCATATTCCTTATCCATGTTGATTTTAAAATCTTCTAGTTCAGGATCAAACCAATAGAATATTCCCATAATTGCTTGATAATTTTGAAACATCAGAAAAACTAGGAACATTAAATATAGCACAGACAATCCAAATATCATTCTCCATATCGCTGGATGTGGACGAGTAAAAGGTCCATTTGGAAACGCCAAAACTGAGATGACGCAGAAGAAGATAATGACACAAACTATGCCTGACCAAATATTATCTTCCGTATTCAAGTCGTTCCTTAAAAAAAATTATGAATAAATAAAATTTTGAAAATGTGATTGATAATGAAAAAAAAATTGTCGTATGATCATAATGATAATACGAGAATCCGTCTAGCGTAGACACAAACGTGAGAAAATGAATATAAAGAAGACATAGGCATAGATAGGAGAGAAAAAGATTGAAATCACGCACAATGTGACACAAATAATTGAGGAAAGAATTATGCAACGATTGTGAAAAAAATTCAAGTGTAGAATGGAATGAATTTGCAAAAAAATCTATAAAAATGATGAAATGGATATGAAATCGATATAGACGTGTGTCTACATTTAAAATGAACATTGATCGATACAGGAACATAAAAAATTACCTGGTGAATGCAAAATACATTGCAGCTATTACGGTACACAATAGTAGTGTAATTGTATGAGGCCTATAGAAAAAATTCAATGTCATATCCTCAACTGCTCGTTCGTTCATCTTTTGGAAACTTTCCGTGAATTCTTTGACTTTAGAAGGCGGCATTATTGGATCTTCGGATTTTGACCTTATTGTTCGTGGCTCCCCCATTTTTGATATGTTCCTGTTATGCTCAGTACGTTTATCGGTGTGACTTGCTAATAGCACTTAATCAAATTATTAAACAACTAAGATTAAATTACAATTTTTTTTAATAATATCAAAATTCCGTATTAATTCATAGTTTTTATGAATAATCAAACGCAATTGATAGAGACTTGAGCCGGATGTCTATCACTTATCAACAATTATTACTTCTCTTCTGTTTTCTTACTGAATTAATAAGAAAATCGTCAAGTTTTAAAGAAACTTTTTTTGATAACACAGAATTAAGTGTGCAGACCGAACTCTAGCGGATAATTCAAAAACTTACAAGTTATACTAAGTTTTGCTCATCTTATTTACGTGATAAATGCGCATTTAATATTTTTCAATTGTTTTAAAACCTTAAAAACAATGTTTAAATAAGTAAATTCACAAAAGTCAAGTACTGAATGTTAATTTTCGTCTTAGAATTTGAAAATTTTAACGAACTTTTGAAAATTTGAATACATATGTTCCATTGTTTACATATTTTTTGACAAAATAATTATTAAACATTAATTAAATCAACCATGAAAACGACAGATCTTAAGCCAGTCAAGGAGCCAAAGTGCAAAACAGCACAAAGAGCTGCTAGGAAAGTGTAAAATAAAGGTCTACAAACGAGTTCTACATATATCTTGTAAAGTTTTTTATTTGCAATAATTTATCGTCAAATATATTTATAGAAAAATGGCATTAATTAACAATTTCTGTGATGAGTGATAAGTTTCTAGCCATCTAGACCTTAAGAATAAATTGATGTAAGTAAAATAGTTAAGTCATATTTTCCGGAAATGTCGATGAATCATCATAAAGAAATTTTACATAAAAAACTTTGATTTCTCGCGAAAAAATGTTATCATAAAAGAAATAGATTAAATATAATTATATATTTGCGAAGATAGGCAGTGTTTTGAGTGCATTGTGATGGAATAAAACACATCTTTGTCAAGATTAGAAGGCTAAAATTGAGTAGAAAAGTGATTATTTTATAAAATTTCCCTTTTTTGTTGTTCAAACACACATCCAGTTTGTGCTCACATACGAAACATCAAATTTTCTTCTCCATATCGCTCTTCTTTCTCAATATCTATATACATATAACTCTATAGCTTTAAAATAAGTTGTTGATAATTCGCGAAGTGTGGTGAAGGCAAAAAAGCCACTAATTATTTCAATTATATGATTCGCTTCATCTCTCGTTTTATATATACATTATTTATTATTATTTGATTCTTTATTTCCAGCAACATCATCCTTTTCAACTTCAGCGACTTACTTTGTTTCCCTTAAAAAACACTGCATTAATTATTTTAAAAGCTTCTGGAGAGAACGGACTAAAATTTGCTCAAGATAATAGATTGCAATTCACTGACTCGTCCCATACCTAATAATAACATAAAATAGAACAAAAACAGCAGCATATAACATAAGGTAGTAGCAGAAGAAAAAAGAAAAACCATTTCCACACAAAGAAAATGCGCGAATTTAAAGTTGTTGTGCTTGGTTCTGGTGGAGTGGGTGAGTATTAAATGAATGAAGAAAGAAATTGAAAAGTTTTGCTTTCTTTATTGCTACAATAATAAATTATGACTGTTTTGCTCCTCTTCTCTCGTTTCGTCTGTAGGAAAATCGGCCTTAACTGTACAGTTTGTCTCAGGATGTTTCATTGAGAAATATGATCCAACAGTAGAAGATTTTTATAGGAAAGAAATTGAAGTGAGTAGATAACAATCCTTTAATCTTATCTGACTTGTGGAATTAATTTCTTGACGTTGTTCACAGGTCGATAATTCACCATGCGTGTTGGAGATTTTGGATACAGCTGGTACTGAGCAATTTGCCTCCATGCGCGATCTCTATATTAAGAATGGACACGGTTTTATTGTTATGTATTCACTCACAAATCATCAGACGTTTCAAGACATAACGACAATGAGGAACGTAATACATCGAGTAAAAGGAGGACAGCCAACTCCCATCTTACTAGTCGCCAATAAACTCGATCTAGAATACCAAAGAGAAGTGTCAACAGAAGAAGGTGAGTTTCACTAGTTAATTTATATATGTCATGTCACTAAGTTCTAATGATTCCATTAGGTCACGCACTAGCTGAAATGTGGGGATGCCCATTTATCGAAGCTTCCGCCAAAAGTCGAATAAACGTGAATGAAGTTTTTGCTACAGTGGTCCGTGAAATGAATATGTCCAACGAAAAACGAAAGAAAAAAAGTTATTGTTGTTGCACGATATTATAGGGCACACGTGTTTTGTAATTCAAATGAAATTAGTTAATTAAGGCCGATTTAAAACAGAAAAAAAACAACTGATGATGTGAAAGCAATGATCAAATTTTTAGGATCATTGTTGTGTAGACTTTATATCTTTACATGTTTTTTACGTAAGTGTATTTTCCCTTTTTACTACTAATCAAACTATCCTTCCGTTTTTAATGCAACCCAATCCACACAGTTTCACTTCTCCTACAGGACGCATATTTGAGTGAGATTCACAGATATTTTTGACATAAACATCCACCCATTTCCTTTTTTTATAATACACTATCAACACATAGTTCAAACTCTGATTATTGGGCTGATTTTGAGTATATGTTCATCATTTACTTCGACGATGATCATAAAAAATCGTATCAAATTTCATTATGTTATTCAACCTGATCGAATAATTGAAATTAAATATCAGGATTTAAAAATAATTCTTGGTATATAAAGATTTAAATCGTGAGATTAAAAATTAATCTGACTGGATTAATATTTAAATCTAGCTTGAGTATAAATAAATTAAGAGAGATAAAACTGTGTCAAAATCTACAAATTCAGCCAATAATCCACCCCCATTTACACATGCAATATTGTGGCATTTTCCATGTTTTTAAGAATAGATTTTAAAGAATAGCGAAGCAACAGATGACATTGCTTCAATTACTATGGACCCAAAAAAAAATCCATTTTAATCATATCTTGAAATCCCATCATCATCTTTAGACTGTAATTTATATATTTTAGGACTATCATAATCTTCTTCTGCAAAGAAAAAAATATTTTAAATGAAAGCTCATAAGACATGAAAATTTCTTTCTAATTCTTTCTGTTTCCTCATTTTTTTTTTATTAAATTAATCACGTATGATTTCCTGCTTTTTAATAAAACTTAGAAGAAATTAAATTAAATGAATGAATTTTCTACTGAAAATTGATAAGAAATGAAAAATTTAGCTTTATAAATTTACCAAAAAAAGAGTGTGTAAGAAGAGGAGCTCATCGGATTACAAGAATGTGGGAAAAAATATTAAGTAGATAAGTAATATAATGAATTTTTTTGATGTAGAATCAAATTTATCAATATGTGTAGTGTTCTTAACACCTTTTTTAAATTAACAAAGGAAGGAGTCTAGGTTGGTGCTTTTAGATATAATAATTAAGGTCGAATCAGCTAAAGTGGATGACTTGACAGAAGTGAGAAAATTCAGTTGTGCAAAAAAGTTTCGAAATTTAAATCCAATAGAGGGATAGAGCTATAAATATAAGAAATTTTGAAAATTTTGTCTTGATGCAAAATTACACACAACCAGCAAGTCATCCACAAAAATTCAGAATATAATTAAAAAACATTTCAAAGAGGTGCTAATCTTTGACTGCAAAACTAATCATCACCGCCTTGAAACCTTCCAATGAAAGCAATGTATTCTTTGTTTTAGTTTAAAGACTATAAAAGCAAAAAAAAGTAAAAAATTGATAATTTTATTCTTTCTTTTTCATTATATTAATATTATAACATTGACTAAAAAAGATGTAAATTTTTTTTTGATATATCAAGCGTAACCATATTAAAGAAGAGAAAAATGAGATATATATGTTTATTATTTTAAAATCTTTATTTCTAATAAAAACGATAGATTCTACAAAAGATTCATTCCGTTTTGTTATATTTATCTGCTCTTCTTATTTAAAAGGATTCTTTTTAGAATATGAAGATGATTTAATTTTTTTTTTCTTCTAGAAATGAATTTCAGTAAATGAGGAATTAGTGAAGACAACTGAATATTGTTTTTAATTTATTGTGAATTTTGAGAATCTGGTTATTGATTAGAGAACATTCCTGGTTTCTAGAAATTTTTAAAAAGTGTTTCACAAAAACAGGTGTTTTGAAAATTTCCTTTTAACATCGTAAAATCATTTTGCATTTAGTTATATCTACAGATCAAAAAGTTCAAAGTCTCAAGAGTGGTCTAATGGGTTATCTCCAAGAAAAATGGTTCTAAAATTATTTTCCTGACATGAAAGCAAGAGCAAAATCAAAATCCTACCTCTTGTGTGTACAACGACTTGATAAAGCACTTCTACTCATCAAGTAAGTTAATAACATTAACGGAAAATAGTGATTTAAAATCAGCTGCGGGCCTCAGACTCGACAAATAAAATGAATTTTATTTTTCTTTAATTTTTCCTCAATTTGTCTATTTGAAATCGAATGTAACGTAGTGCAGTGCTGAATTACAAAGTGTGGTATAAGATTTCAAAAAATCATATGAAGTAAGCAGTAAAAGGACTGTGATAAGGCAACATAATAGCCAAAATATAAAACAAGGGAAAAAATGAAAAAAAATTGAGTAAGTTTTAGTCAAAAAGAATCAGCCTATATATGAAGGCAGTCACCAGTCAGCAGCAATATTTTATTATTGTAACAAGAAATATTATTTCCTTAGTTGACTCAAAGCAATGACACTCGATTGTGCATTAAGTAAATGTATATAAAAATTATTATTTCTTGTTTTTTTGTCGTCGTTAATGATAAGAATGACATTTAACTATAAAGATATAAAAATTTTTTTTATTACACGGGAATATGATCTAATAGAGTCAAGTTGTAACAAGTTTAAAAATAATAATTTATGTGCAAAAAGAAGGCGTCAAATAAAATTGCAAAAAAAAGAAACAGGAGATTTGTCATTTTAAAGCAGATAGTGAACCTGAAAGTTATGTATGTGATACAGAATGAAAAAAAAAAGTTTTAATAATCATAATAAATTAACGTACATGTGAGATTTTATGTAAAGTGAATCATGTGTAAAATATATTCCAAGAAGATGTTCACTTAAGTGCTGTTATATATTATACATAATGTAATCAAAGTTCACAATAAAATCGGAATGGATATATAAATTGAAAAATGAGAAAGAGACCCTCTCAAAAAAAAAAAATATATAGAGGCCCAGTATATAATTACGGAATCGAATGAAGAAGAATTTCTTGCTCGTATGAATTCAATTCATATGTATGAAAAAAATTAAACTTTATATTCATTCATTCATTCATTCACCAATAATGTACAATAAGCAGGCAGTGAGAGACAACAAAAGTGGAATCGAATGTGCTATTTCATTTCTGTGACTTAAACGCATTTTTTGTTTATCAAATGATTAATGTTTTAATTAAACGATGTTTATAGTTCCATAAAAGAAATTGCTGATTCAAGATATGGCTCCTTTTTCAATTTTACTGTCTCGAATCAGAACAATTTATAGTCACTACAAATTATTCTCAAGTTAAAGATCAGCATGCTAACTTTAATAATTTGTCTAGTAACTGTTGCCAAAAATCGTCAATACATCAACTTTAATGTAAAACATGATCCAGCTATAAAAAAAAAATCTCATTTCTTAGCAAGTTCAAAAATAATCATAGAGTGGTGCTGTGCGTGTATCGATTTGACATGAAACAGAAGCCAGTGTCTCGCTCATTGATAGACTTCCCTAAAAATACATTAATTAGAGTTTACAATCATTCTGCTACTATTAACTATCGGTCATATGATTCTGACAATGTAAAAACATCTGTCGTCGATATCATATGCTGTCTTCATCATATCTGATTGTTCTTTCTCTAAATAGACATGTCTATCAATTGATGTTTAATTTATGACATATTTGTATCATAACTGGAATCACTCGAATGTTTGTTCTTTTATAATTCAATAAATTCAATTTTATCGGATTTCTATTTAATCGGGGTTGTTTTATAAGATAAATAAATTAAGTAGACTTCTCACATTAATGCCTAATCGGAGTTTTCAAAATGTAAAAAAGTCTATTGTTGGATCAGAAAAGTGCTAAAAAATTATGTGTATGTACAATGTGCTTAACATTCCTCACACCATTATAACAATATAAAAATTCATATTAAGACATCTATATGTTGCTTTTGCGGAATGACTCAACAGATAATACGAATCAATTTCTTGCATAAATTTGCATTCTGTGTAGTGTTATCGTAAAAAATTTCTACGACATCAAATTACATCGTCTGTGACTGAAAACTTATTCACTTCCACAACAACTTGCTAACTTATTATGAGAGTTTAATAATGTATGAAAATTTCTTCTACTTCTTGCTACCTATTTCTCTTTTTTTTTTGCATAAGAGCGGAATTCAACATGTTTGTATGGAACCGCACATGGCACGAGCCGAATCAAGCAGCCAAGTCTATTTCTTTATTTTTTTTTCTGTTTGGGCTTCACATTAATCCACCACACAGTCATTCATTGAAATTTAATTTTTCTTCTTTTATACTTTATTTTTCATATATACACATTCATTTATTGTATTCATGGAAGTTCGTCTGTAAACCCGTAATGCCGATTCCACTTCAAAATATATACAATATTCTTTTTGTTTATATATTTATGTATAGATTGCATAAAGGGTTGATTGTAAATTACGTTTGTTATTTTTTTTTGTCGTCTCTGTTATCGCATAACTGTAGATGGTAATTAAACACTTATGATAATGGGAAAGACCTAGCTAACATTAGGTAAGGACCAAAAATAAATCAGATTTTTCGACACGTAATTAACGATCAACCCATCAACAATATCAGTAAATGTTAAGCCTTTAAATTTTCCTTCTTTTCAAATGTAAATTACTCACCTATTTATTTCTGTACACATTACTTTATCGTATCGTATCGCTGCTGCCTTCTTACTATTCTTCTCTTTTTTGTACACACATAATAAATGTTGCGATCTTTTTATCGATAATGACGTCATTTTCTTCTCTTTCTCGACTTTGCAATACTTGTTCACTTGCTTACTAACTTGCTGTGGCCTGCTGAGCTTCTTACAACTTTACGTTAGATGAAATTATAATGATGGGTTTTTCTTGTCTGCCTTGAAATCGCATTGATCTCACTTGAGGCGCGCATATGATGCAAAATTGCTATATATTGTGCGAAAATTTTGAGTGTGAACTGTAATTTTTTTACGAAACAATTACAGAAGTGCTGGTAGTTTTCTATTTTTGTGAAATATCTTTCAGTCTACTAAGTATCTTCTATTTTTGTTTTGATGTTGTTTTCCACTTACTTTATGCGTTTTTCTTCCGTTCTCTCTCTTATGAATATACTTCTATATTGTGTTGTTCGTCGACATCTATTGCAGTCAATGTTACGCACCATTAGTCAAATATTCATAGATATAGAGATAAATTTCAAAAGCTTTAGAGGATTTCAAGTATCATCAAGTTTTTTATTATTGATACACTGTACTCGAATATGCTATGAATCAGAATGTCATACTTGGTTCGTCAAATCGAGAATTGAATAGTTCAAGTAAATTCAAAATTAGATTAATACATTTAATCCTCCATGAGATTGAAAATATTGCTAAAAGAATTATAGTAATGATATTAAACGGATAGCACGTCGTCAATAAATTTTATTACATTGCATATGAATGTTAATTGAGTTTTGTGGATGGATTTAGAATAAATTTGAACGCTGAATGAATTTGAGACGATTTTTGCTGGTTTTTGTAGTTTCTTCTTGTCCACTTGGCTGGTTCATTCACTGAGCTATCAAACTAATCACATTTCGAAGCACCAGATTCTATTTTAACATCATTGAAAAAATTCTCAAAATTCCATTTTTTAAAGTTTTGAAAACTTAAGGCATTAAATATACCACCACAAAAATGGCGCAGAATACACGACTTTAATCTTAATGCATTATCCCAACCTAGTGTGGGATTAAATGCAATACATATACCTTATATATCTTACACAATGCTTATTCTGACAAAAAAATTTTTGTCTTGTTATCATGTTATTATATCATAACTTACACGTTGTCAGGGATTATTTAACTTTTTCTACAACATTTGTGTTTATTAAATAGTCGTGTAAGACGGTTCTTGACAAAATAAAAATTTCTTAAAACATTGCATGTACATATGATGAAGTTAATTTGCTTTCAAAACATGCATGCACATGCCTCTCAATCATATTGTGAAATTCTATAGACTGCCAATTCCTGCCACAGAAGTTTCCAATCGTCTATACGTCTTTCAAGTTTGTCCAATCTATGTGTAGTACGAATTCAACCACAAACCTATTAATTTTATCGCTTTTGTGGGCTCCACGGTTTTCTTAAGCTTATCGTAATAGTCATGTGTTACATACGACTACTACATTTCATTTTTTGAGATAACATATTGTTAATATACGATATTAACATATTTATTTATCTATGATATACTTTTATACTTTCTATAAATTTCACTAGATGTCACTTTAGTATATCCAAATTATGCTTTAGATTTGAATTATTTCATGTCGTTAATGAATTTGATAATCATTATGTATTTCATAATTTATTGTAATGTATAACTTTAGAATGACGTTATGCTAAAGTTGAATATACTTTCATTCAAGGGCATAATAATT